ATAGCTTTGCAGGACATTTGTTCTAATCCAGAGAATATGTTTTTAAGTGTTTGAAGGACTCTGCCACAGGAATCTTGATGGCACCAGCCAAGATATCTGAGGCTCAAGGATGGCAAACCCCAGTGACCATCCAGTACTCGTGGGGGGATTCCAGCAAAATAGAAACTGGGATTTGGGCATGTCTGGGCAGGTCTGCTGACTACATAGGGCAAGCATGCCTGGAGTCTATTTACATAACTACTTTTGGCTGAGGTAGGATTGTGTTGTGCTGCGACTGGAAACTGGGATGGGACCAGCAGAAATGTGTCAATCTTGGGAGGCAGGCTCTGAAAAAAAAAAATCTCCTTTAGTAAATGAGTTTCATTAGTCAACAGGATTCTTTCTAACCTGACAATCGCATAGTTTGTATTAGCATATAGGATAGCATATAAGCAGTCTGCTCTAGGGATCTATAGATCTAATCTATAGAACCTCTCTAGTGATCTATAGATCTATAGTGATCTATAGGGCATTGATTTTGTTTATTTTCCTAGCAAGAATTAAGCTGACCGTGTGAATAAAAAGATACAAGGCACATTTTGAGTTTTGAAAAAGTCTGATAGGTGACATTTTCTTTCTTTTTTTTTTATAAAATTCAACAGGGAATTATATCGCTAAGTCTATTTTTAAAAAATAGCACACTTTTGCTATAGTACTCAGAACTGTTTAGTTTTGTTGAATACCAACATGGGTAAAATAGTTTAAATTTTATTTACCCTCCTTCCAAAATTATTTATGCTTCTCTTTCAGGTCTCAGTTGGTATCATTTCTCATTTATTATTATTGGGTGATAAATTACAATAGCAATTGTTTTCTTTAGATAACAGTAATTATTATACTAGGGAAGGAAACCTATTTACTCTCTGTTTGGGGTGCCAGCCACTAAAGGGAATCACTTTATACATAGACATCTGGAGTCTTTTAATGCTTGTGGTATTACTGTGAGATGAGCACTTTGTCTATCCTAACTTTAGAGATAAAGAAACACACCCAGGAAGGTTAAATGAGTTGGTCCTTTGTATGACAAACAGCGGGGGTGGGGGGACTGGAATGTTGGGTATTTGGAGTGTTTTACCCTCATTTTAAAAAAAATGCTGATTCTCCATTTGGGTAATTCATTTTTCAGAGATTCTCTTACTCCCAACATTAATTATTGAAGTTGAATTCCTGACTCACTGGTATCGTTTTCCAGGCTTTTTATCATATCAAATGAAGTTTTTAGGTTTTTTTTTTTAAAAAAATAATTAAAAAAATTTTTTTATGTGCATTGTGTTTTTTGCTTATACGTATGTCTGTGTGAGGGTGTTGGATCCTGGAGTCACTGACAGTTGTGAGCTGCCATGTGGGTGCTGGAAATTAAACGTGGGTCCTCTGGAAGAACAGTTAGTGCTCTTAAAGCTTTGAGTCACCTCTCTAGCCCAGGGTCTACTTTTTACTCTCTTTTTTTTGTTACATTTATTTATTCCTTTTGTTCATGTGTTTCTGTGTGTGGGTTCTCTCCCACCACAGGATTCATGAGTGAGGTGGTAAGAGGAGAGCTTTTGGGGGTTTGTTCTCTTCTTCCATCAACCTGGTTCCAGGGGATCAAACAGATCATTAAGCTTGGCTGCAAGTCCCTGAGCCCACAGGGCCACCTCATGCTGCCGCCTTGAGCTTTTCAGAAGTGGCTTTGCAAGCCACTTGCTTCCCTGGAGGATGAGAAGACATCCATGGAGCATCTTTCCTTCCTGAGAACGGTGTTAGAAGAGTTTTAAGTTTTCATTTGGATATATTTTCAAGCACACAGGAAATTTGCCAAAAATGATGGCCCTAAAAATTCCTCCAGGTGTTTTACTGAGACTTGTTTGTTGGCAACATGTTCCTTTTCTCTTTTTGTACTGTCTTTCAGTATACTAGATACGAAGACTATGATAAAACATAGAATTCTTTTAAAGCCATTTAAAGATTATAAGTACATTTTGCTCTTCCCTCTAAATACTTCTGTATTTCCTGACTGTAGGCCTATTCCTTTACATAATTATAGTGCAGTCATCAGATTTAGCATATTTAACGTGGATACAGTCCTTCTTATTGGAGAATATTGTGAGTCTGTGAATTAACTCAGTGTGCCTTATAGCATTTCTGTCTTAGGCACATTCTTTCAGGTGCCTTGTACTTGTCTTGTTTCAGGGTAATTTCAATTAAAGTAAATTTAATTTTTGTCATGCTTGGGAAACTATATTCCATATAGTATATAAAAATACACATTTGTGAGACATTTGACAAAAATTGGGCTTTTGACTGATTCTTTCATTATCGTTTCATATTTTGCAATTCCAAAAGATTAGGATGTAGTCATACTAACATTAAAATTAGTTACTAACAATTGTTTCTGTTAATAACATTGTTATTAGATAACTTTCTTTACTTACATGTTTTTGAGTCAGGGTTAGAATTCCAGTTATAATAATTTTAACCATTAATTTTTAAGGAAATTTCTAGAGTTGCAAATGTAGCTCAGTGGTACAGTGTTTACCTAGAGATTTCTTTTCTTCTCTTCTTTGTTGTGGAGAGGCTTGCTAATTAAGCTAGGATAAGATTAGTTAGTGTAAAGTATGAAATTCTAGAAGGAACTTGAGATACAGTTTTTGTTTTTTTAAAGAGGCATGATTGATGCTGGCAAATATAGAATACAATTTTAAATAAATAACCTGGATGTTGTTTAAAAGGCAAGCTGTTGGATTTATCACTCCTGCTAGCCAAGAGGTACACCAGAGCCTGTTAAGTCTGATCTTTTCACCCTGATTGTCAATGGCAGCTTTAAAGCATGTGATGTAGAATCCCAGGATGAAGCCGTAAACCCACTTCAGGAAGGGCCGTGAAACTCTCTCTGGCCAGTCCTCCTTTTCCTCAGAGGGAAGCCAGAAACTTGTCTGCCCTGGAGAAGTTATGACCATGTCCTTTGCAGTTGATGGCTAGACTCCTGCACCTCAACTTCCCCCTTTTGTGGGAATCTTGGGGAACAAAATTCTCTAGGCTCCCGCTCATTACATAAATGCCTGCCCTTGCTTCTACTCAATTTCTCCATTGGTGACTTGTTGAGTGCCAATGGTCTCTCATAGCAATTTTTAGTAATTATTCATAAGAAAAAGGGATAGACGCACCAACCAGGACCCTGGTCTTTGAAAGAACATGCTTGTTTAGCACAGGTGAGATGGATTGCTCTTGGCTCTTTCCCTCCTAATTTTCTTCACTTCTTCTCAGCTTGCAATTTGTTGACACGTTAAATATGTTGTTTAGATTGAATATGAGGTGCACAATGAACTAAAACCTGTGTTGATGATTTATTCCACGTATCACAGTGGCCCCTGTTTCTGTCCCAAATACCATTCTGAGGCACCTCAATGTATTATGAAAGGTCAAAATTTTGACAGTTTTTCTCCTACCTTGAGTGTCAGGGTGAATCACAAACATCATGGTGGAAGGCACTTCTGCTCTCGTTCACTTTTCCAGTGCTCCATGACTATACTGCTTAGTGCAGCGCTTTCTACTAGATTGTTAACTGCACTTGTCAGATACATATCTGTCTGCTTCTACTTTTCCTCATGATGTATGTGATTGCCTTTTTTACGTTTAAGAACAATCTTATTTTCATTTATGTGTATGTCTGTGCACACATGCATGCAGGTGTTCATTCAGCCTAGAAGAGAGTATCAGCTCCCTTGGACCTAGAATAGGCAGCTGTGAACTGTCTGATGTGGGTGCTGGGAACTGCACTCTGGTCTTGAGGAAGAACAGCCAGAGCTTTTAACAACTGAGTAAACTCTCTAGCATGCACTGCCTTTTAAACAATGGGAGACATGGCTTATTTTTAGATGAGCTTAGTAGGTGATAGCAGGCCCATGGCTGTGACAAGACAACTAGGAGTAGTAACAACGTGTTCATAGGGACACCGTAATAGATGTCTTTCAGGAAGGAAGTCACATCTTTAGTGTTTGGTCTATGGCTATTAACACATGCCTGTCCTGCAAGAATTGCTGGACCTTTGGTCCCCTTAATTTCCTGATTTGTCTTAAACATTTATCTAGGGCTGGAGAGATAGCTCAGCAGTTAAGAGCACTTGCTGTTCTTCCAGAAGACCAGAGTTTGGTTTCCAGCACTCACGTGGCGGCTCACAACTATCTGTAACCCCAGGCATAATCCCTCATGGAATTAATTTTACGATTTTACTTTTGCGTTTCCCTGCATGTAGTATGTGTGCCATGTGCATGTCTGGTGATCAATCCTCTAGAACTGAAATGACAGATAGATTCCCTGTGGGTACTGGAAACCAACCCTGGCTCCTCTGTAAGAGCAATGAGTATTCTTAGCTGCAGAATCATCTCTCTAGCCCCTTTAAAAAGGGAATCTGTTATTTTTTCGTAAATTGTGTGTGTGTATGTGTGTGTGCTAGTACGTGCACCTGAGAGTACAAGTACCCTCAGAGGCCAGAAGAGAGCATTGCATCCCTTAGAGTTACAGTTAACAGGTGACTCATAATCCCCTGATATGGGTCGTGGAAGCCTAATTTGGTTTCTCTACAAATGTATGGAGTACAAGCTATTAACCTCCTAGCCACCTTTCCAGTCGTGGGGTGATCTTTTTAAAAAAAAGATTTATTTATTTTTTGTATGAGTACAGTGTCATTGCTTCAGAATACCAGAAGAGGGCATCAGATCCCATTACAGAGGGCTGTGGGTCACCATGTGACTGCTGAGAATTGAACTCAGGACCTCTGGAAGAGCAATCAGTGCTCTTAACCACTGAGCCATCTCTTCCCCCACCCCACAGGCTGATTTTTTATCCTACTTCACTTTGTAGCACCCACTGCCCCTCACCACTTAATATCAGTGGTCGACATATCTCTTAACACATGTATCATGAACATTTTCACTCACAAACCAAAATAAGTTCTTTTTTCCAACACCAGAAACTGAGACCACTGGTTTTTACATTTTTTTTTATTTTTCCACTCATCATTTATCTACAAATACACATTATAACTTTTATATACATTGCACATTTACATGGTAGAAAAGTACAAAACTATATATTTAAATGAATTTATATTTAACTTGCCATGTTTGAAAATATAAAATTGCATCAGAAAAAAGTATTATGAAAAGCAAGAAACTTGAACTGATGAAGCTTTGATGGAACTTTCAGTGACACATTGGTTGAAAAGGAACTAATTGAATAGGTACAGCCGACTAGCTCAAAGGAAACACCGAATGACAGGTTGAAAGCGTGACTTTCACCTCTCTTCAGTCTCCTGACACCCACATCACTCTATGTCTTTGGATCTGTAACATCATAAAAGCACATTTTTAGAATTTTAATGCCTCTCCCATCCTCTCTCCCAACGTTCACCAGAACGAGGGAACGGAAGCAGACAAGAGGCACATCCTCTGTACCTTGTATCTGTGGCAGAGTTACAATGCCTTTTGGTCAGTCAAGATTCCTTGTAAACAAAACCCGAGGGAGCAGGTATGTACAGATTAGGCAGCTGAGAATCCAATAAATAAACATGACAGAAACTGACATGCAAATTTGTTAAAAGGTGGAAAAGAATCTAACGGGTGAGATGTGGAGGGAGACAGGTGGGTGTGCGTAGTGAGGAATGGAGTTAAATGGTTTACAAGGGGGAAAAAAAACAGTTTCACTTTACAAGCAAGAGACCTCACAATAAATAACAACTGCTCTTCCTTTCACGAATAAATTTCTTCAAAAAAAACAAGGTGTACAGTCAACCAGACATTTTATGTATAAATTATAAAACATGACACAGTATAAATAAATGTCTACAAGTCTCAACTATAGGCCTCATCCAGTAGACCACAAAATGCTCATCTCTCCATGCCCAGTGAGTAACCATGCGGCCTGAGAGAGAGCTTTAGGACAAAGGTCCTTTAATGTATATAGTTTTCCCCCCAAATAAATAAGCATACACTTATTTACATTATGAACAATATATTTTTTCTTTTTCTTATTTTCTTTTTTCTTTCCTTTTTTAATATTTATTTATTTATTTAATTATTTATTTATTTATTTTTTATTTTGTTGTGTTTTGTTTCGCCCAAAGGCTATGTTAACACTGAACACTGGTGGAGAGTTTACCACTCTAGAATGGAAGAGATAGGAAAGCTGTAGTCCTGGTCTTCCTCCTCCTCCTCTTCCTCCGTTTCTTCCGAGATGGCTAGATGGGGGAATACAGGAGGAGCTGTTGTTTAAATACGGATGACAACAGCGCAGAAGCAGCTCACTGTATGTTTTCAAAGCCCTCTGACACAGCCACATTACAGCGTTGCATTTTTTTTTAACGTGACTTGCAGTGTGATGCTTTCTGTTTTTTGTTTTATTTTTTGGGGGGGATGGGGGTCTCTGCAGTTATGCAATAAGTTTACTTTGAAAAAAAACAACAAACCACCATAATCTATGAAGTCAAAATTGCAGAAAGTTCTGAAGAATCAATGGCTCAGGTTTTACAGGCAGATTCCTGAAATCAGATAAAAAGCGCTCGTGTTCTAGGTATAACTACTTTGGCTCCTTAATTCAGAGTTAGTAGGTGGCAACTGCGTTAAGCCGCAGCCCAGGTGTGATAATATAAAGCTGTCTTGGAAAGAACAAAACCAAACGAACTTTTTGAAGCAGTTAGCTTAGATTCCGGTGTTAATGAGGCGACAGCAAAGCAAAGTACCAGAAGGAAGGAATGAGCATCAAACTGGACAGAGATTTTCATAGGCAACCTAGTGGCAGGTCACCAGGGAGATGGTAAAAAGCCAGGAAAACAGTGCAGAGCATTTGGCTGAGGATCAATGAATTGCTGGTGAAATTTAGCAGCTACCTAGCTTGAACAGAACTAGGTTTACAGAGCGAGGTCTGCGTGCCTTTTTTTTTTTTTTCAAAACTGTCCATTCCCCAGGACTTGCCTGGAAATGCCTTAAATTGCAGCAAGGTTAAAAATCACACTTACAGTTGCAAGATCCGGAGTGCTTCACTTCAAGCAGCACACCAGAGGAGCAGGCAGCTTCCTTCATGGCACACTCGCTGGCATACGTAGTGTTGTCGCTGGCACAGACTGGCTCATCCGACTTGCTGTCAGGGCATAGCTCATCACAGAGAGAGCAGCGACCTCTGCCAACTTTGAAATCCCATAGGCATTTTTTCCCTCCACCACACTGGATATCTTCACAGGACTTTGCTTCTAGGATATAATACACCTGTGATGAGCAAACTGAGGGTCTCATTTTTTCCTCCCTTTCTTCCGTTCCCTATTTACACATATATATTATATACATTATCACTAATGGATTAATGACAGTGTCATACAAAACTGCTTTTAAATCTCACACATCCACATCCACACACACACAAACACACACATAAACTCACACACACACACACACACACAGTGCTTTCTTGCATCTTATAGATCCACACTAAAAATAATATACTTTGGGTCAGAATCTCACAATCTCCTTGAGTTAACTATGAATCTGATTATTTCCTACAAGTGGGATTTAAAAAAAAATTCCATCAATTACTGGAATCCGGTAACAGGTTTTAGGAACTGTTAAGTAATTATTTTTCGCCTCCAGCAAGTCTGGCACTTTAAAAAATGTGTAAAATTGTGTGAGTTCTAAGTTTTCTAAGATAGAAAATTGTTGTCTGCTTCTTGCTGGTGTGTCAATGCAACTTCTAGAACACAGTGGCTTTTCAGGAGGAATGTTTAATGGATTTATTCAGTGGTTAGTCCCCACACTATTAAAACAGATTTTTTTCTAATTGTCCCATCTCTTTTTCTCTCCTCAATCCAGAATACCTACTGATACACTTTCCCTCATAGGCTAGTCCAATGGATCTGCCCAACAAGCAGGTGGCCTTTCTCAGGTGGCAGGCGCTGGAGTAAGTCACTCCATCATTTCCACAAAGGTACTGTTCGGAAGACGAAGGTTCTGGGCAAATCCGATTACAGGTCACACAGTAGGCATTATTGGTCTGATCCACCACACAAGTGGAGCTGCCTGGACAGAAAACATCCCTGCAAGTCTCTGGAGAAAAAAAAAAAAAAGAGGGTGACATTTCACTAGGAACCTTCTGGTCCTTGGGGAGCCAGCAGCTGATAATATGAAGGAAATCATTAAAAGCAAAATATCCAGATCTTAGCAGGCATCTGGGGAGCTTGGCTGTTTCCCAGAGGATCTGTGCTGTGACTCCAGGCTGGCTCCTTCATTACCCTTTAGGAGTTAGATAAGAGCTCCTTTATTTGGTATCACTATTCAGATTCCTGGGCTTTTTATGAAGACTGTACTATCTATCCCCCTTGGATCTTCAAGGGTCTATGAATGTATGGAGATGCTCAAGAGTAGGACCTACTTTTACATTTGCCCTGGTACTGGACTTCCAGCTCTGGCTGCTCTTTACATCTGGCCTTGAGGAGTGCACATTCGTTGCGGTAGGTTTTCCCATCCAGTCCACACACGGGACCCTTCCAGGTGATGTTGGAGCAGTCTGGGGCACAGACGCAGCGTGGTTTATTCTTCTTGTTCATTCGGCACTTTTTCCCTGGTCCGCAGTCCACGTTCTCACACGTTTCTAGGAGTTGGAAAGAGGCACGCATTCAAACCAAGGCCAGGCAGTTGGAGGGTCAGCCGGGGGTGGGGTGGGGTGGACTGGTGGTCTCAGATGTCTTGCGCAATCATGCATCCGAGATGGAGGGCCCCAGACAGTCTCCTGGAAGGGATATGGGGGTTGGGGACCTCAGGCCAAGTCCTGTATCCAAATTCTCTCAAAAGACCACACTGGTTGGTTGCTTTCATTACCATTCTCTGCTAAGAAGCCTGAGGACTGACCTCTTCCGACCTTATTTTGCCTCCAGCGCGAGCAGAGACCGGATTCCACCTAGCTGACTCCACCCGGGGTAAAATTAAAAAAAAAAAAAACCAAAACAAAACAAAAAAACGGAGAAACCGAACAAAACTCTTCCAGCCCTAAGCCTCAGCCAGACAGCAGGAACGCTGAGGGCAAGACGCCCTCTACTGAGGGCCTGCTGCCTAGGGGAGAGGAGGCCCACCTTTACAAGGGATGCAGTTGGGGGCGCCCCCGTTGAAAATCATCCACTTGAAGAGAGTATTGTCGTTCACATCCTCCTCGGTCCATGAGGTGCTCAGCCGGCCGGTGCTGCAACACTCTTCCTTGCTCAGCTCTGTCTTATACAGGACCTGGCAGCGGCCGTTCTTGGCTTGGCGGAGCCAGCAATTCCCAGCTGTGAAGAGTCAGGGATCAGGAGGTGAATGAGTGAGCCCTGGGGTAGGTAGTGGGAAGGAAGGCTGCTTAGAGCCAGGCAAAGAGGCCTGGTGGGGCTGGGGAGCAAGCGATTGGGGGGAGGGGGACAGAAAGAGAGAAGGGGA